ACCTTAAAACTACTTCACAGAACTATAAAATCACATCACATAAAAGCTATAGGAACATAGTTTAAAACAAAACCATAATGGATTGACATGGGTTTAATGGGACTGAGACAATAAATGTCATGGCACCTTTAACCAAAGTGTCTCACAATAGCAGTAAAATGGAAAACGTTGCACAGTCACATCAGCGTGTCTGTGTAACCTTAGATAAAAGATAAGCCATGAACAGGTCACTGTATTAATCTAATTTAAAGAATGCCTCAGCAGTAAAGCCCCCGTGCAGCTTTGTATCCAGACCCATGTTACTCACTCTATACGCTGAACAGATGACTTTCCCAGACGAAGGGGGAAGAGAGTTGGCAGACGTCCAGGGATTTATGTTCGCTCTTTAGAAAGGTCAGACTGACTGCTGCTGCCAAGTAACTACAGTTCCACAGTATGCTGCTAACCTATGAACTATAAAACAGTCATGATTTAAAATGATGTTGAGTGATGCTCAGTGTCTTAGTTTTTGTTTTGGAGTTTGCACTACTTTTAGAGGAGCAGCACCATTACTACATTTTTTAAACAATAAAACACTTTGACACGAGAACGCAAAAGAACTGCAGCGTACTGTCTGAACCAAATGACTGATTCTTCAGCTGCGATGTCTTAAACTTTCTGCTGTCGTACCTGCCTTCTCAGCTCGCACAGTCTCTCTTTGAAGACTTTTAGACTGAACTGTAAGAAGTGCTCACAAATCATCTCCATGACGACGTTCAAATGAGACGGGACATCTTCTATATGATCAAAAGCTCAATTCTTAGACTTCAGTTTAAAACATTTCATTTTGAAAACCTCACAGTTGTTGCTGCTTCCTGTTTGGAGGAGCCAGCACGAAGTTCAGATACATTTGATTTAAATGTTTTTAATCGTTTGTATTTATATATTTAATTGCTCCTTGTATAAGAAATGCAATGCTGGGTTTACTACACTAGTGGTGGGGGATGTGGAAAAAAATGTCAAATCACAATTTTATTTTTTTCACACTGAACTTAAAGGCTTTATATTTTTTGATCCAGCAGATGTCGCCCTTGAGCACCAGCATGAAACCAAAACAACTCGTGCTGCATTGTTGTGTTAGCATGCTAATGCTAGCAATCTTTATTCTGCTGGTATCTTCACACTGCATGTAAATTTACCTGAAATGAGCGTGATCTAGAAACACAGTTAAGCAGTGAGTACAGTATGTTATTCTTCTTTTCTCTAGTCCCTCAATTAAACAACTTTTATGCACGAGGGGAGGAGTCAGCCGGCCGTCCTGGCGATGTAAACAAACTGAAGATAGGACTCTGAAAACTCTGAAAACATCACAGACAGTGGGACTCGGGTGTTACACCCATTGTAGACAGTCATGACTCACAGAGTTATTTTCAGAGGAGATACTTGATTTATATTATATTTAAATGTGAAACGTTGCAAGTTACTGACCAGTTTAATGTTTTTAAATGCACAAACGCTGTGCTGATACGTTTTGTCTCCCTCACCAGAAATGTCTTTCCCTGCATTCTGATTAATTTGAGTAATTTTAGAGTAGATTCAAAGTGATGTCTTTGTCACATCGGTACATGTCTCTAATCTCCCTCTTTGATACTTTAATTAACTTATGAGATGCCTCACATAGCAGACTGTTTATAAGCCGACATATAGAATTCTTCCTGCTAAAAGAAAAGCTCTGTTAATTCAGCTGAGGGGGAGGGAAAGAAAACTCGGTGTCTGCTTTGATGTTTGGAAATCTCCCACTGGCTCTGTTTCAAGAACTCCTCGACTTGGAGAGGAAGGAGGTTTGATGGAGCCAGAGCTGAAATGATTCAGCTTTCATTAGAGCTGAAGAATTGTACTGTCAGCCATTTTTAATATAATGGGAAGGTCTCTCCGGAGGCTTTGTTCTTAATATCAAAAGAAGGATAGCTTCACTTTAATGTCCGTGTAGGTTTTTTTAGTTTGACACGGAAAATGGCACATTCAGGGGGCTGTGGCTCAGTTGGTAGAGGAGGTTGAGGGTTCAATCCCCAGATCCTGCTGCTACATGTCCGATGTGTCCTTGGGCAAGACTCTTCTTCCCAAGTTTCTCCCGCTGCTTCTTCTGCTGTGTATGAATGTGTATGAATGGGATTAGCTAATACTGATGGACACTTTACACAGCAGCCTCTTTCATCAGTGTGTGATGTGTAGGTGTGACCTGCAGTGTAAAAACGCCTTTGAGCAGTCAGAAGACTAGACTTACTGTTTGAAAGGTTTAACTATACAGAGACAGTGCGTTTACATGGGATAGCTTGATAGGATTAAGCCATATACCGATTTGCTTGTCTGAGTATATATCCCGATCAGAGAATCGTATAAATGGCCAGAGCATGGCTGACTCCGCTACGCTATGTGGCGCTGTACCCCTTTCAACACGTGGTTATAGAGCCACTTCCGGTTCACCTATACGTCACAGCAACAACAAACTCTCTGGCGGCATTCAAACAAAGATGGCGTACGAGGAGATGGGCGACGCTACAGCTATGTACATTTCGAGCATTATTTACGTTCTAATAATCGTTGTAGTCGTTTGGCCTTTCCGGCAACAACACTGCTACTCATCACGTCGTCTCCTTCCACTTCCGGGTGAAAGCCCCGACGGAAATACTCGAGCATGCGCAGAACGCGAAACCCGATTACGACACGATGGCTGAGTTTAGATACCGTTAGTTTGCAGACTGTGAACGACTTATCTAGGTGTTCTTTTCCGATTATGAGATGTCCGTTATGGTCCAATGTAGGTCGCACTAAGATGTTTACATGCATCAGTGTCTGATATGAGCAGACACTGTTATGTAACGATATGTAACCCTACGGAGAGACACATAGTTTGGGCAGCAACAGGAACAAGCCAGTTGTTGTCTGACTTTTGGATTCAGCAAAGTCATGAGATCATGTTTTGACACTCGTACAGTCATCTTTGTACTTTTAATCTTGGATGTATTTGTGAATTCATTCAGGAATGACATCACGTTTTCTCAGTGAGTTGGGGCCTCTGATATGGCCTCCTGTCCTGCCGGGTCACACTGTTGGTCCTCATGTGTTTTTGTGAGGGTGGTGCATGGAGACGTTTTTTTTTGTCCTCACATGTTCTTTGTATATTTCTTCAGTGAATCGTGTTCACGTTTGAACCAGGTCTCAAAATAGATCTTGATCCAAAGTCAGCTGGACAGAGGATCTAGTTGTTGGCCTCATGTTGAAAAAACTTGTCCAGCTTGTTGGAACAAGGTGGCTGTCAGGTTAGTGTTACTGTGATTACATATCATCATTGTCTGAGTGAAATTCCTCATTTTCAGAAATACCTCTTACAGTAGGAGTCTGAGCCCAAAGTGAAACTGTCCAGGCTTTCTACCGTTAAACAGCTTCACACTTTACAGATGGAAAAAAAAAAAACATGTCTGTGCAGTCTGGTAGAGATCTCTTTAGACACCTCAAAGATATATTTTGCCACCTCTGAACTAAATGTCTTGTCACTTGTCAACCAATACTGGTATTGTGATACTGATCCACTCCTTCCTCTTATTTGATGTGTGATACTAAAAATATGTAACTCACTAATATTTTAACAATCGATTAATGGAAACTGTTCAAGTGATATGGAATATTAAATGATTATTAAAATTTAGTGTTGACAGGCTTTGCTACATCAAATAGCTTTAACAGTATAGCACTATTCACTCTTACACTATACAAACTTTGAGATCAAACTGATGATGCTTTGAATGAAGGACTTTAACTTCACAGTGTGGTAGGAGTACTTTTAAATACATTTTTAGCACAGAAGAGCTACAGATTTAACCAATCAAACATCTTTTTGATACATCTTTATAAAGGGAAGCCTTGGTCTTCAAAGGTTCTTCATCTTATGATGCCGTACAGATTCCAGTTACTCCCTGCTCCGCCGGGCAACCGTTAGCTCGTTAAAGCTTGTTTGTCCCGTCTGCTCTTCATTTCTCTGATGCTCCTCTTAATCACTGACGCACATATAAACACACACACACATACAGACACACTCCTCTCTGCCTGCAGCACAAACACATCTCTCCTCTATCGCTTGTATTTTTTTTAAGGTTTATTTTGGGGCTTTTTGTTTGTCTTTATTGTAAAAAGATAGGACAGTGGATAGAGTCAGAAATCAGGGACAGAGAGAGTGGGGAGTGACCTGCGGGAAAGGATCCACAGGTGGGACTCGAACCCGGGCCGCCTGCCCAGAGGACCACAAATAAAATGAAAGAGGCACAGTGGGAGAGTCATCTGAGACATGTTGAGCACTGTTTCAAATGACTGTTACAAATAAATGGAGCCTACAAGTCTTTCTTCTTTTCTTTCACTGTGGGGTTGAACCTTATTGGCCCGGCCGTCCCTGCTCGGCACTCCACTTCTGGAGCTGAATCTCAGTCCGAGGAAAGAGAGACACACTCTGACTCAGTGCAACACACACAGCTGGATGCACACATGCACAGAAATGTTGGAGAGCAGTTGGGGAAATCCTCTGGCACACCACGTCGTATCTCTTTTATTGTCACGTTCACATATCTGTGCTGTGAACTTCACCACCTTGTCTGTGTGTTTGTGTTTCGGTGTTGGCTGTGACCCCCTCTGCTCACATCTTGGCTGTTGCTCAATTTAACTGAGTAAACAGATATTTGCTTTGACTCATAACTTGTGTTGTGTGTGTGTGTGGTGCAGTGGGGGAGGGGATACTGATTCCCAGCACCGACTAATGATTTGTGTGAATTGTAGAATTTACGAGAGTTGAAGTTGAACATTAGTGAAATGATAGGCTGTATAGCAAATGGGCGGCGAGGACAGATGTTCTGTCAAAGAGTTTATTATCCCTGAGGCTTGACCCCGGTGACTGGCGCTTTATTGGCCCCTGTGATGACAGAGGGTGGGGTTCACATTGGAGGATGGGCTAAAACAGAGGAGGAAGACGCCAACTGTGAGGCATTAGGACTGAAGAAGAAGACGGAAAAGTAGAAGTTGAATAAAAAAGGAAACGGGGATAGAGACAAAAAGGGATACTTATGTTTGGACTGCCCACAGAAGATGTTCTGGTGAACTTAATGAAGTCCCAGAGGAGATCGAGGTAAGAATGAGAGCAAGAGTATGAAGTGAAGTCAAAGTAGTGACTTGTATCTTTGTCAGGTGTCCATGTGGGAACTGCTGTCTGACTTCATTCCCTTGTCTTCAGGGTTTTATTTGGTAGATGAACTGAAGCTGTGTTTTTCTTGACGTGACCACAGAACAACATCTCACACAAATGTAGGATTTAGTTGTACTTTTTTAAATTTCACTATAAGTCACTATATGCTAATTGATAACAGTTCTAAATATCTCATACATTTCAAGCAAACAACTTTGGCCAGCTGCAGTAAATGAATCTCATTCCCCCCGTGATTGTGTGAGTTTAACAAATTGACTGAGATCACTTGTTTAATACTCTGTAATGTTTCTGTGACAGCCAGAAAAATGTTTTGTGTGTAAATTATACGCAGAACTTCTCCAACACGTAGGCTATCTCTCCATAACAGATAGATGGAGGGGGATGAGTTCTTCCTCAAAGTACGGAACAAGAAATGCAGACTGCACTGGTGATGGTTCACTTTAGTAGGTGTTGGTTATGTGAGCTTGTTCATGAATCACCTGTATGTCTGTTCTAGGTCTGTACTATCATCAGCGTTAGGGATGTTATGATTAGCAATGATTAGACTGTGATGTCATCATCATCATCATCATCATCATCATCCTAAAGTATGGATTATTCTATAGGTCTTAAAAAAATTAGATTTTAAAAAGTGTTCAGACGGGGGCGCACTGGTGGTGCAATGGTTAGGGTGCTCGTCCCATGTATTGAGACTCTCGTCTCGAGCGATAGGCCCGGGTTCGCTTCCACCCGTGGCCTCCTTTCCCCGCTCTCTCTCCCTGGTTTCCGACTCTATCCACTGTCCTCTCTCTGCATTAAAGGCACGAAAAGCCCAAAATAAATCTTTAAAAAGTGTTCAGACACAAATATATGTCTCAGTGTCGGCTGTCGTCTTCTACTCATCCTTAGCAGTTTGATTTTGGATCAGACAGACTCTCCGCTGCACTTCAGCTTGTTTGGATGCTACCGCACTACTTCATCAATAAAAAATCTACAAAGCTACAAAACAGTTCAGAAAACAGAGACTGAAAATGTAGTTAAACCACAAACACTGTCATAGTGTTGTTGCTCCTATATTTTGATAGTGTTTCCTCCTTTTTTTTTACAAATAATTTACAAGTTAAGTCCTGAAGCATTTTTTCATAGAATAGAATAGAATTACTTTATTAATCCCAAACTGGGAAATTGTGGTGTAACAGCAGCAGGTTATCAGAGCAAATAAAACAATATAAGAATAGATACATAAATAAGCACTTAAAATATTAAAAAAAAACAAGTTTACTCCCGTTGCTGCTGCTGATGATTAAGAGCAATAATAAAATATAAACTAATTATTAAAACCGCAAGCGGTGATGAAGGGCCCTCGCACCCCGGTGCATGTCGGGGTGTGTCGCGACCGCGGGAGTGCAGCAGCAGCAGAACGTGGCTAAGCAGCAGGCCGTGCAGTCCGATTTGTGAAAAAGTGGTAATACTGGCAGCGTAATGAAGATCACAGAAAATGTTGACATAGAGCAGTTCAGGCTGCACCGTCATGATAGCTATGAAATATGGAGCAAATTGAGCATTGTATATAGGATGTCGTACTTACTCTTTGCTGTAGGGGGCGCTATGGTTAAAGTTGACTATTGTTATGTCAATGTGTTCAAAGGCCAACCCTGATCATACCTATGTAATTTCAAGAAGATCAGACAAAGTATATAAGAGTTAGAGCCACTTCCTGTTTGATGGCGATGCGATTTGTGGACTTCCTGTTGAGTTTTGGGCGTGGCTTGAAGAGGCTTTTTTGTAGGTTTTGTCATGTTGGAAATGCATCGCAAGATTCAGAATTGTAGGTTGAACGTGCTGCGGGGGCTGAATGTTTGAAATATTGTAGGGGGCGCCACTGAGCCATTAAGCCACGCCCACTCACTTAAACGGTATAAGATGTTTGACTTTACCACCAGGATCATATGTATGAAGTTTCGGGACAGTACGACTATGTTAAGCCCGTGAAAAAACTACTTCCTGTTTGATGGCGAGCGACGCGTCCGTATGGCGACAGCGTTGGACGTAGGCGTTTGAGCTTGAAAGTGTTGTATGGCCGAGGTGTTAGCGTGGTCCACACCGAGAGGAACATGAGCTACGGGTAGCAATGGCTAATGCTAATTGAGAAGCAGTAACTTCCTGTTGTCAACAGGTGGCGCTGTGACTAATGAAAAAATGTCAATCATGGACGTGTTCAGGGGGGGTCCAGTATCATGGACGTGTTCAGGGGAGGTCCTGTATCGTGGACATGTTCAGGGGAGGTCCAGTATCATGGACGTGTTCAGGGCGGGTCCAGTATCATGGACATGTTCAGAGGAGGTCCAGTATCATGGACGTGTTCAGGGGGGGTCCTGTATCATGGATGTGTTCAGGGGGGTCCAGTATCATGGACGTGTTCAGGGGGGTCCAGTATCATGGACGTGTTCAGAGGAGGTCCAGTATCATGGACGTGTTCAGAGGGGGTCCAGTATCATGGACGTGTTCAGGGCGGGTCCAGTATCATGGACGTGTTCAGAGGAGGTCCAGTATCATGGACGTGTTCAGGGGGGGTCCAGTATCATGGACGTGTTCAGGGCGGGTCCAGTATCATGGACGTGTTCAGAGGAGGTCCAGTATCATGGACGTGTTCAGAGGAGGTCCAGTATCATGGACGTGTTCAGGGGGGGTCCTGTATCATGGACGTGTTCAGGGGGGGTCCAGTATCATGGACGTGTTCAGGGGGGTCCAGTATCATGGATGTGTTCAGGGGGGGTCCAGTATCATGGATGTGTTCAGAGGAGGTCCAGTATCATGGACGTGTTCAGGGGGGGTCCAGTATCATGGATGAGAAATTGTAATATGATTGAACACTAGATGGCAGCGATATAAGCATTTACTTTTTTTGTAAAAAAAAAAAGAGTCTGAGTTTGCGTCGATCAGATGCAGCGGATCTTGAAACGCTGCAAGAGGATTTTTAGTCCGTCCCGACAACGTTATTATGCGTACCAACTTTCGTGAGTGTACGTGAAAAAACCCTTTATGGGGAGGCCATTTTTTTAAATTTCAAGGGGGCGCCACTGAGCCATTTTGCAAATGTTTTTATTTTTTTTACGAAACCACCAAAATATGACATTTTTTGCGAGACCTGATGAGCGTGGAAAGTGTGGTGAGTTTTCGGGCACGTTCAGGCCCTCAGAAGTGGCCGCAAAGAGGAGGAACAATAAAAAGAAGAATAATCGCTTTAGGGTTTCGCACGGTTCGCGCTCGGGCCCTAATAAGAATAAGAAGAGATTTATACATTAAGGATTTAACTTAACATTCTTACTGCTCTGCTTAAAAAATGAAAAATGAAATATAATACAGCATTTATTCAGGATTGTCAACTGAATGTAAAAATAGTTGCTGGAGGTAAGAGGTGTAAGTTTGCAAAAACTGTGATGACAGTGGTACATATGTAATAACGATTTGGGGGGGTTATCCAGAGCTGTGCAAATTCGTGGCTGTGCAATCAAAGATATAAATGTTAAAGTGCAGGAGTGTCGATACGTTATCAGTTGAAACTATTCACTTTAATGATGAGCAGACAATGTCGTTAACTAACTTTCATATCACCTAGAAAACAAATAAGAAGCTGCTGCCTAAGTCTTTTGTAAGTTTCTGCTTCTACTAGTGAAAAACTGCATCAGGGTTCAGCAACAAAGTGCATTTGGCAATCTGATGGATTTAAGTCTATATTCTATGATAGCATTGTTATAATAAGCGTTCATGTATTTGATCCCTCATATCCTCCATCAGAAATGCTTTCAAAGGGCATTACTTCAGCTCATCAACTCTCTCACCACATGTGAATACTGTTTAGTGACCATAGTGAACTGAAAAGTAAACGAGTGACACAGGTTGAACCTCTCTTTTAAAGTCTTTTCAGAGTTATAAACTTCCATTAAGCTCGGTGACTCACAAAAGACCGAGGGTAAGGATTCAGAATGACTGCTCTATCAGATTGTGGCTCTGCAGCTGTGCTCAAGTTCTTGTTGGTTACCCGGTAAATCATGTAAAGAGTCACAGGGATGAAATTGCTCTGATTGGCTGCATGTCAGCTAGCAGCACTGGGGCCCCATCCATCAGCTTAATGATCAACTGATCAAAAATAAATTGTGGCTTGATTACTCAGCCAGAGACATTAGTCACAGTGCTGGCAGAGGACGAGGAGAGGGGGACGTGGGGAGAGAAACAGACAGAGATGATGTATAAAAGCACTGAATGATATGTGGTTTCCTTCTGTCTTAGTTGTGTTTCAGCAGAGTCAAAGGACCCTGTCAGTGTCAATACACAACAATAGAGGACCCCTTCCTATGTGCGATTATGCATTTATTAGGGGTGTTCCTAGGCAACTCATTTTAGTTTACAAGGAATTTATCCTCAGACTAACCATCGAGTCTTGAGGTAAAACACTGTTCATTTATTTAAAATTGTTATTTGGTTTTCAGAGTGTGGCTAACGTTAGCATTGCTAGCACCTTGAGCCTTCGTTCCTCCTTTCAGGTTGACATCAACACGCTTGTGGTTATGTATTACTCCAGTTTAGGGTCGCAAAAGGGTGGAACATTTCCGGTAGATTTTTTGGTAAATTTCCAGAAACTTTCCATGGGAAGTTAAGCTGGGGAATTTTGGAAATATTCCAAACTGTATTAATACCATACATCAAATTTTAAAAATATATTACCCCATAATATCATCAAAACTTACTACACGGGATAAAATGTGTGGCTTCAAAAGTCTTGTGCTCTGGGCTCAAAAGTGTGGTCCAGGGTTCTAGAAATCATGATGGAGGAATGCCCAGTGCATGTAGGGGGCGTGGCCTCACTAGCCCTGCAGTCAGCAGTGTGCTTAGCTTGCATGAAGTCATGCTAAACCTTCAAGTTTGAAAATTCACGATTTATT